CGTCGCCTGGAAGCGACGTCTCCTCCACCTCACTCACCCGTGACTCCAAGGAGCAACACACATTCTACGAAAACAGGAACCCGGTCTAGGGTGTCACGCTCTCTATATTTTCCTTTTCTATTCTTCCATTCCCCTTAATGCAACAAGGGGGAGTCATCTGGTTATGAATTGAGTTATGAACATGTATAACTTACTATCTATGTATACTCTTTTGAGGCTGGAGTCATGTACCTATAGTATACCAAACACACATCACGAACATGAATATACCACACACAATACCATTATACCACCACCACGCGACCGTCTCTGGCGAGTATCTCAGCCCATCCGATATTAAGTGTCAACCAATTCCTTCCGTAAACGGAGTGGGTCTCCGGCTCCACTGCAATTACTTTTAGGTCATGACTCCACTAATCCATGCCTCGCATGCGCCTAACTCCGATGCCAGTATGGCCTGATCCGATCCTATACAGTACCCCATCCAGTCCCGCTTCTCCTGCCTACTCCGATTTTATCCATAGATCATATTTAACAGACAGTATTATTACTACCTCCCTGCAGGGATCCCCCAGTGCAGCACAGGTCAGGCCTACCGGAATGAGAGTCAGTGTCCGCTCCATCGGAGGGATGCAGTGCGTTGATTATTGATCTATTTATCTGATAAGTTGTTTGATCTTTGACATCGGCCACTCCGTAGATTGACGTGTGCTGTAAATTGGACTTTATTTAAATAAACTACGGCCCGTCTTGCTGCATCTAACGCAGGTACGGATGGGTGTAATTAAGATCTGACAATGGTTTTTTGGGGGGGATGTTGGTGAGGGGTAGTCTAGGGTTGGTATGGCTTATTTTTGCTGCGTGGGTTGTTGGAGGATAATTGTTTTCTTTTTCTTTTTTTTGTGGTACCTTTGGGGGTGTATAGTGATGGTGGGATTGTGGGATGGTGTAGATAGTTATTTATTTCTCTTCTAGATGTTAAACATGTGTCATGTTCCATAGGAAAAGAAGAAATGTGTCAAAGTGTACGGAGTCGTTTTTATGGTGGAAGAGGGACACATCGTTTTTTACTTGGTGTACTCACTCACTTTTATTTACTACTTTGTACCGTTGTCCACAGTAGGGGAGTACCCTAGACTCCCGTCCTTCTTGAATAATCGGAGTATGGTGTACACACTACACTAGTAGACAATAATAGCTGGTCTAGACTACTACTACTACTACTACTATGATGAATATGATTGGATAATCACCTCCTCAGCTAATCTTGCATCGGAGATTAAAGCTGGACGGGGGGCCCGTGTGTGCATATGTATCTAGTAGATCGTAGTAGTATTTGAGATTTGGAATTTTACTTGGGGGCCTGGGTCTTGGGTATATTATTGTGTGCTATATCCCGCTTTTTCAGCTTTGAGGTTGGTGTCGAGGTTGGGGTTGAGAGGATGAGAGGATGTCTTGGCTGGCTTTGAAGTTGATAAGTTGGCTTGGATAAGGGTTGTGGAGAGATGTTGTGATGGGCTTACTACTGTAGGTAGGTGAGTTGTATTCAGTGTTAAAAGTTGGTATTAGATTTGTCATTGTGTGTGTTCCACTTATGTGCTGGTTCTGGGTCTTTTGCTTATTTTTTTTCTTATCCTTGTTAGTGTTGGTGTTGGTGTTATGTTAGTGGGAGGTTAATTAGGGTGATTTCATCTGGCTTTGCTTCAATTGATTCGCTTGTGTTGGTCGCTTGCTTTGGCTTGTTTGTTTTGAATCCGGCACCTTTGGTATGTGGCATTGAGTATACATCTTTTGTGCATTGGGTTGCTGCAATTGACACTTGAGTATGTGCAGGATTCTATGTGGTAGTTTATCGGTGGATGGCTGTATGTTCTGGTTCTTGTTGATTTGAGTTAGGGAAGACGCTAGTACTGTCACTGACATGTGATTATTCTTGACATGTATGGATTCTAGAAGGCTTGATTGCTCAATTAGTGACCTGGATTTTTGGTCTAATTGGCCATGATATCTATGTTTTTAGTTATGCTTAAATTGCACTATTCTATGCTGTATTGCTTCGTTTGTCGCTGGATGTTGGACAATAGGCAGGATTGATATTTTCCCTGGTCTGTTGGGGTATGCTCCCCTTTTTATAAGATTCACAAGACTCCTAGTACGATACATGTGCTGCTAGTAATAGTACTCTCATGACGCCTCTCCACTGAAGATGATCGTTGATTCAGATGTCAACCCGCGGGGTCCCTATACTACTAGGACTCCAGTAACAGTAAAATATATTTCAAGTAGCATCATTTGCCTTCAATTGAATTGAACTTAGCTATCGCAAGAACAATGTAGCTATCTTACTCTCAGCTACAAAGAAAGTGAGCAATTATAAATTTGTACCTTACCTAACCAAATCCTGCTTCTCCTTAGCTGAATGCTGAATTGGCATCACTGGAATGGCGGTGATGCATCGGAGTTTGCAGCGAGAGATGGAGTGCTTATCGGCCACCCCTGCCACTGATAAGCGATGCAGATCCGATATGATCTCACCCCATTAGGCAGTCACTTCCTATGCTCATTGCCACTTACCGTCATCGGCAGTCGGCGGAAGAGGCAAGCAGATTGACTCAATAAAGACATCTCCATCTGAATGATTGGATTATGGAATTACTATTATCATTAGGAATTATCATGTTGAACGGCGGCTCTCCGGATGGGTTGAGAAGTCGCCGAGCACGGGGGAAGTACGGCTGCTGATTGGTGCAAAACGCCGAAGCAGCTGTACGGCGCGGGGCAGCTTCCAATCCATCGCGAGCTCTCCCTTCAATAGCTGCCCCCTCGCTCCATATTTAACCCTTCACGCTGCCATTTTTCTCGTGATTTTATCTTCTCTCTCCAAAGTCATCTCAATTGCACCAGTCTAAACCTATAATCGGTGCTGGTCTGCTGCTTGTTTGGTTGAGCATCAACCGAGGAGCTCCTTATCAATCATCATTGCGTTATCGTCATCGTATCCTTCCCCACATCCCTGTTTTCCAGCTGGGTATTTCAGTGCCCCTGGCCCCTCAACTCCTCCTTTTCAAACCCATCTCCTCTCAAGTAATACATCACAATGGCTGCCATCTTCCGCTCCAGCTTGAGGCTCCGCCCGACGACGCGCCTGTCGGCCGTCCGCACTCTCACCACTACTCCGCACATGCGCGCTGCGGAGAAGCCTTATTTCCCCGATGAGCCTTCTGCTCCCAAGCTGGCCACGGCCATTCCTGGCCCCAACAACAAGGCTGCTGCTGCGAAGCTCGACAAGGTCTTCGATGTGCGCAGCTTGAACATGCTCACTGATTACTACAAGTCCCATGGTAACTAGTAAGTTGACCTGCATTTATCTCACCCCTTGCGGGCAAGACTGCCGAACGAATACTAACTTAGACACAGCATCGCCGATCTGGACGGAAACGTGCTTCTCGATGTGTAAGCTATTACTACCAACCGATGATGATCCTTGCGACAATGCGCTTGTATGGTTCTAACATTTATTGTTCTCAGCTATGCTCAGATTGCCTCCATTCCCGTCGGCTACAACAACCCTCACCTCCGCAAGGTGGCAGAGTCCCCCGAGATGGTCAATGCTTTGATCAACAGACCGGCTCTGGGTAACTTTCCCTCTCACGACTGGGCTGACATCCTGGATACTGGTATCCTCAAGGCTGCCCCCAAGGGCCTTAACCAGGTGTTTACCGCCCTGGCCGGCTCGGATGCCAACGAGACTGCCTACAAGGCCGCCTTTATGTACTACCGTCAGCGCGAGCGTGGTAGCGCTGAGACCGAGTTCACCGAGGAGGAGCTGGAGTCTACCATGAAGAACCAGTCCCCTGGTTCTCCTCAGCTGTCCATCATGTCCTTCAAGTCGGCCTTCCACGGTCGTCTGTTCGGCAGTCTGTCTACAACCCGCAGCAAGCCCATCCACAAGCTGGACATCCCCGCCTTTGACTGGCCCCAGGCTCCCTTCCCCTCTCTGAAGTACCCCTTGGAGGAGCACGCTCAGGAGAACGCCCAGGAGGAGCAGCGCTGCCTGCAGGAGACTGAGCGTCTCATCAAGGAGTGGCACAACCCCGTCGCCGCTGTTGTCGTCGAGCCCATCCAGTCGGAGGGTGGTGACAACCACGCCTCCCCTGCCTTCTTCCGTGGCCTGCGTGAGATCACCAAGCGCAACAACGTCCTCTTCATTGTTGATGAGGTGCAGACTGGTGTGGGTGCCACCGGCAAGTTCTGGGCCCACGACCACTGGAACCTGGACACTCCCCCCGACATGGTGACCTTCTCCAAGAAAGCCCAGACCGCCGGTTACTACTACGGCAACCCGGCCCTGCGTCCCAACAAGCCTTACCGTCAGTTCAACACCTGGATGGGTGACCCGGCCCGTGCTCTGATCTTCCGTGGTATCATCGAGGAGATTGAGCGCCTGAACCTGGTGGAGAACACTGCTGCCACCGGTGACTACCTCTTCTCCGGCCTGGAGCGTCTCGCCAAGCAGTACCCCGAGCACCTGCAGAACCTGCGTGGTAAGGGCCAGGGAACCTTCATTGCCTGGGACACGCCCAAGCGTGACGAGTTCCTGGTCAAGGCCAAGGGCGTTGGTGTTAACATTGGTGGCAGCGGCCAGAGCGCCGTCCGCCTGAGGCCCATGCTGGTCTTCCAGAAGCACCATGGTAAGTCGCTTTAGATTCTGATTTGAAGAGTAAGATGCTAACATGTTGCAGCTGATATCCTCCTGGAGAGCGTTGAGAAGATCATTAAGCAGCTGTAAGCAGTTGCACGGTCGATTTGATTGAACTCTAGTTTATGAGTAATGGCGTTTAGCGGAACTTGGGATGGGGTCATTTCTTTTCATGATATCTTTAGCCGTTATTTATAAGGCAATTTGCGCTACGATTTATGGCAATGATGCTAGTCTAGTCATTGAGCAACAAAGTGATGCCGCCAAGGCAGCGTTGATCTTGATCTTGATCTATTGTCCGGGTATCCAGTAGACATCCCCCTTTGTAAATTATAAACAGTGTGCAGAATCAAACCAACCCGACAAACCCCGTACCGTACATGATCGAAAGAGAAATTGTAGAACCGAAACTCCAATCGTGCAAATCGAAGAAGAAAGGCCAAGCCATCCTCCCTTTTTTACTGAAAATATCGCTATGCCGTGCAAGATAGAGAACCGACATATGGCGCAAACGAACTAAAGCAGCGAAGAAAAAACATCCGAGCAAGCAGACAGCGATCGATCGATCACGCCTCCTCTTCACCCGTGCTACCGTCCCTCCTATACCAAGACACAATGTAATCAGCATCCATCAATCACTACCCCACATAAAATCGAAGACAAGGGCAGGTGATAAAACATACGGAATATACTTCACGCCCGAATCCTCCAAACTGGAAATAATCTCGTCGGGAAGCTGTTCACCCACCACTATTAGCCCAATATCCTCTTCACCACCACCACCACCACCACCACAACCAGAATAATCTGGGTGTATACTCACCGACCCCGTAACCTTGACCGCATACGTCCCCGGCACATAACTATCCAATCTCTGCCACCTAGCCACCCAGCTGGTCGTGGGATCGCGGAGCGTCACTAGGCCCTCGAAGACCTGCGACGTGCATTCTTGGATCGCGTCGTTGTTGCCTCGCAGGCCGAGGACGTTGTCGCAGTTGGGGCAGCCTTCGCGCATGAATTTCTATTCCATTAAAACAAAGGTGTTAATTGAGGCTTTTCTTTGGGGGGGGGGAAGGTAGGTAGGTAGTAGCAGCTGGGCAGCTGGGCAGCTGGACATACGCTGTGCAGTTGGACGAGCGAGCACACCATGCAGGCGCGGAGAGTGCGCTGCTGGCTGGGGGCGACGTAGAAGGACATCTTTCCTTTTTCGGCCCTTCTTCTATTTTCTAGGATAAGAATTGGTGGGACAATAGAATGGTAGGAGAGGTTGTGTAGGGATTGTAGGTAAGATGCATGCGGCAAGAGACAAGAGACACACCAAGAGGGTTCTGGAATCGGAGGGTCGGCGCCAAGACCACCCAGCCCGGAGAAAAGTGACGGAAGGGAAAGCAAATCAATCAATCAATCAATCAATCCATCATCGACCCGAGTTTAAAAGCGCTTGGAAGTTGAATCCAGGAACGGGTGAGCCCGAGGAAAAAGTTTCAGGAACTTTTTTACTTTTTTGATATTTTCTTCTTTTTCGCCTTTCATTATTCAGGTTCATTTACCTACTTTCATTTTTCTTGCTTTTCCCCATATTAAACCATTCCCATATTAAACTGCGAAAGGATCTCGTGCTCTCTTGCCCCGAAATCCACCTCCCCCCCTCCCCTCCTTTCGTTAAACGCTTCACTGTTGCGCCGCCCGACGCCCCCCATGGCTTCCCCCGATCTCGAGGCCGCCACTGCCCTCAAGGTGCAGGGGAATAAGGCCTTCGCTGAACATGAGTGGCCTACTGCTATAGATTTCTACACGAGAGCCATTGAGAAGTATGATAAGGAGCCGTCGTTCTTTAGTAACCGTGCTCAGGTAGGTGGCGCTACCAGACAATCCAGTGTTGGAGGTGGAGGTCTGTGTTGAGATACTGACTGGTTCTGGGGTTCTTGGTTAGGCACATATCAAGCTCGAGGCGTATGGATTTGCGATCGCTGATGCCTCCAAGGCACTGGAGCTTGACTCCAACTATGTCAAGGTTCGTTGGATGCTGCTGCTGCTGCTGCTGCTGCTGCTGCTTGTTGGTGTTGTTCGCCTCTCTGACTTATTCACCCTACCGTCGATAGGCCTACTGGCGCCGAGCCCTTGCGAACTCCGCTATTCTGCACTACAAGGAAGCCCTGAAAGACTTCAAGGCCGTGATCAAGAGAGAGCCCAACAACCGCGATGCCAAGCTAAAGCTTACCGAGTGCGAGAAGCTCGTTCGTCGGCTCGAGTTCGAGAAGGCGATCGAGGTCGGTGACCCGCCCTCCGCTTTCGAGGACCTGGATATCGATGCGATGGTCGTGGATGAGAAGTACGATGGTGTGCGCTTGGAGAAGGAAATGACGCAGGAGTTCATTGATGACATGATTGAGCGGTTCAAGAACGGAAAGAAGATCCATCGTAAATACGCTTTCCAAATAATCAAGGCCGTCAAGGATCTTGTCTATGCGGAGCCGACGATGGTGGAGGTGGGTGTTAAGGAGGGTACTAGGTTGACGGTTTGTGGTGACACGCACGGTCAATTCTTCGATCTTCTTGAGATCTTCCGCCTCAACGGCTACCCTAGCGATACCCATGCTTATCTCTTCAACGGTGACTTTGTGGACCGTGGATCGTGGTCGACGGAGATTGCTCTCCTGCTGTACGCCTACAAGTGGCTGCGCCCCAACGGTATCTTCCTGAACCGTGGCAACCACGAGACGGACGACATGAACAAGGTGTATGGCTTCGAGGGCGAGTGCAAGGCCAAGTACAATGAGACGGTGTTCAAGGTCTTCTCCGAGTCCTTCTCGGCTCTGCCGCTGGCTACGTTGATCGGCAACAAGTACCTTGTGCTCCATGGTGGTCTCTTCTCGGATGACAACACTACGCTGGATGATATCCGCAAGCTGAACCGCCACAACCAGCGCCAGCCTGGACAGCAGGGCTTGATGATGGAAATGCTGTGGACGGACCCGCAGACCGCGCCCGGTCGCGGACCCAGCAAGCGTGGTGTTGGTCTTCAGTTTGGTCCGGATGTCACCAAGCGCTTCTGTGAGAAGAACGGTCTGGAAGCGATCATCCGTTCGCACGAGGTGCGCATGGAGGGCTACGAGGTCGAGCACGACGGACGGTGTATCACCGTCTTCTCTGCGCCGAAGTACTGCGACACCACGGAGAACAAGGGTGCCTTTATTAAGATTGGACCCGAGCTCAAGCTTGAGTACCAGGTGTTTGAGGCTGTTCCTCACCCGGATATTAAGCCGATGGTAAGTGATGTATTATCTTGACGAGAAGTGCGGACTGGCAGACTAATGTTGATATTCCAGGCGTATGCGCAAAACTCTCTCATGTCGTCGATGATGTGAGAGGCTTGACTGCTTTGCAAGCTGGGCGTTCATGGGATGGATTGGGAGCGAGTCAATCTCGCCGATCGGACGGGGACATGATACATATACACCACGATTCAGGATGAGAAGTGCGACGTTCAGATGAGAGGAAGAAGATGCGGAAAGCCTTGGATTACACAGTACGAGGGCCATGTATCTACGGATGATTGACGACGATCTCGTGAACTCTTTGCATAGCGGAATATCTATCTATCTATCTTGCTAGTTATATCTTTTTTTCTTTTCAAGGCTATCTAGGTGTATGTCTCTGCGGCTGAGTTGTCCCGCATGTGCAGGTCTGGCGACGTTGGATTGGCTGTGGGAGGGGAACTGATTGGACGAATTGCTTCGTGTCGTACGTCTTGCCTTCCAGTCGGAGTTCTGCGTCCATTGAATAGATATGATATCTCACTGAATTGCATGGGGGAGAAATGAGGGTTAAAAGTGACTGTCGGTGCAGAGAATCCCGACGGCAGGGACCCCGCGATTCCCAACCGACGTCGTGTTTGTTTCTCGCTCTTCTCCCATCTTGGCTCGCACTCTTTTCTCTCCCTCTCTCTCTTCTGTTCTTCTTCTCTCCTTGAGTTATTCCTATCTATTTAATCACATAATTATTTCCTTCATCATGGAATACGAACCCCAGACTCGTGAGTGATACTGACTGCTCCTCTCTCTGCAGCCACACTAACCCCGCCTTCCCCTCCGCAGCGCAGTATCTCACCTCCGACAAGTCCAGCTTCGCCTCCGTCTCGGCCCATGAACGCTGGCCCGTCATTCTGGTATGCTGGAGACAATCCCATATGACAATATAAGCCTTGACTAATACTCCTCTCGCATAGACTGGTGCGATTGATGATCTGCACCGCAGCGTCGCCGATGTAACCGACGAGGAGAAGCGTCAGGAAGGAAAAGCCATCATCGGAGACCTCGCAGCATTCAAATATGAGCTGCAGCATAACAGGCAGTTGACGTGAGAAGCATCCTCCGCCTATACTCAACAATCAAACAGTCATTGACCATCTACAGCCCCCTCCCCGACGATGGCCAGCCCGACATTGCGGCGTACAACCAGGAGCTGGAGCAGCGGGGAAACCCTTCATGGCACAACGTCGCATGGCTCTACTCAGAATGCTACCTCTGTGCGTGCAATTGGCATACCTCCATACCTATACCTCAGCTAACATCCACCAGACAGACGTCTGAGCACCTTCTTCTCCCTCTCCAAGCACTGGAAGGGCTATGACGTGTTCGCCCGCCAGAAGATGTCCACCTTCAAGTCCTCCCGGCCCGCCGTCCTCGAGCTCGCCGCACGATACAAGGAACTGGCCGAGGAGGCCAGCAAGGGCACAGACGGCAAGACCCCAGAGCAGATCGAGCAATCCGACCGTATCCTCTTCTCCGAGATGTGCGAGATCTGCCTCTGGGGTAACGCCACCGACCTCTCCCTCCTCACCTCCCTCACCTACGAAGACATCCAGAAGCTCCAGGGCTCCGAAGCCCGCAAGGCCTCGGAGAAGAACATCCTCGTCAACGACCTCAACGCCTCCTTCGACGTCCTGCACCAGGCCCGTCGCGACCGCAAGAACCAGGACCGCCGCGTCGACATCGTCCTCGACAACTCCGGCTTCGAGCTCTTCGTCGACCTCATCCTCGCCGGCTACCTCCTCTCCGCCGGCCTCGCAACCACCGTCGTCCTCCACCCCAAGAACATCCCCTGGTTCGTCTCCGACGTCACCCCTCCAGACTTCGCCGCCCTCATCGCCGCCCTCTCCGACCCGCAAGCCTTCTACACTGCCCCCGACGAGTCCGGCAAGACCTTCGACCCCCTCTCAGAGAAGGAAGTCTCCGAAGTCAAATTCCTCTTCGACCACTGGAGCCACCTCCACGCCGAAGGAAAACTAATCATCCGTTCACACTCCTTCTGGACCACCCCCGGAAGTTACTGGCGCATGCCATACGTAGCCCCGGACCTCTTCAACGACCTGAAAGAGAGCGAATTGGTCTTGTTCAAGGGTGACTTGAACTACCGCAAGTTGACCAACGATGTAAGCTCCCTCCCTTATTCATCATTTCCTCTTCACCTTCTAATCCGATTAAATCATATAGGCCGCATGGGCCCCCACAACCCCCTTCACAGAAGCCATCGGCCCATTGGGCCCGCAATCCGGCGTCCGCGTAATGGCCTTCCGCACCTGCAAGGCCGACGTGGTGGTTGGTCTGCCCGAGGGTGTGGATGAACGGCTCCGCCAGCTGCCCAATGGTGGGGGCAAAGAGGCGAGGAAGTGGGCGTGGAGTGGGAAGTGGGCTGTTGTGTCGTTTTGTGATGGGAAGGCTTAGATTCTGTAGATGATATATTTAGATGATAAATGATTGATTTGATAGATTTGAATGGGATGGATGGATTGATAGATGGGGTTCAGTTGGATATGATATTTATACGCCTTGTTGATAGGTGATGTGTTATATGGTTGGGTTTTATTTCTCGTTCATGATAGTGATAACGAGAGATTAGACTAGAATTGAGTAGTTGAATATATGTATATAGAAGATGTAGGTAGAGGCGTGGAGGGAAATAAAAACTAAGATTACGTACGATCAATGATCAACGGACTAGAGCTAGAGCTAGAGCTAAGTAGTGAGTGATTGACATCCACATCAACAGAGGGAAAAGAACAGGTATCAGACCAGAGCAGACCATATCACCATATCACCATACCACCGAACAAACAAAAGACAGATCAGATCAGATCAGATCAGATCAAACGAGACCAGACAATAGGGAGAGGTATTCACTTCCATCACAACACAAAAGGGAAAAGAGCGGTTCGGTTCAAGTATCAAAGCTATCCGTGACAAGAGAATGATCCTTTCATATATCCATCCATCCATCCATCCATTCATCCACCATCCGTTCCATATCACTCCGTGCCGTTGTTCCCATTTGACATATAGGAGATAGAAGATAAAAAGAGAAGAAAAAACATTAAGAAATAGGTTCAAGAACCGATAAGGCTTGGTTCGTATAAGTGCGCATATTCTCTTTTCCCTTTCGGGTTTCCTCTTTTCGTTGCTTGAGACGTGCTTGGGCCTGCAGTTTGCGGTCCATGGGGATGGAGTCTCGGGGTACGACGGCCGCGAGGCTTTGACGGCGCTTGGCGCGGTCGAGGACGTGTGAGTCCGGGAGGGCCGTGACTGCGTCGAGGCTATATTTGGAAGGGGAGCGGCGCGCGCGGGGACGGCCGTGGTGGCTGTCGTCGAGGTTGTTGGCGAGATGGTGGGCGAGGGAGGTCATGGTTGTGTTGGTTGGGGCGTAGAGACTGCGGTAGGTGTTGGTGTTGGTGGTTTTCTGTTTGGGACGCGGGCGGGTGGAGGGTGGAGGGTGGTGGTGGTGATGATTATGGGGGTAGTCGGGTGGAGAGGAGGGAGGGATGGTGGCTGGTTCTTCGTCATCGTGATGCTCGTTTTGGTAGCGGGCTTTGGGAGGTTTGAGGGATTCGCCGAGGTAGGCGAGTTGGTCTTCGTCGGTGATGCCCATGGCTTTCATGGCTCGTTTGAGGTCCAGGTCGCCGGCGGTGGTGGTGTATCGGGATGGGTAGGAGCGGCGTTCTTTGGCACGCGGGCTGGGACTGGGTGGCTCATCCATGTCCGCGGTGTTGTCGTCTTCGGCGTCTTTTTGGGGACTGTTCTGCCCGAAATCGAAGACATGCACACCGGTGTAGTTCTTGCGAGGGCTCTCGGTGTGGCGCGCTCGAACCTGGGTGTGTGGGAGGCTCTCGATCGCGGTGAGTTTGATCTTGAGCTGGTCGATCTGCTCCTGCATGCGACGGCGTTCCTCGTTGAAGGACTCTTTCAGGTCCTCCTCGTGATCGCGATGTTGCTGAGATGCGGTCTTCAACCGGTCGCGGTACTCCTGGATGCGCGTTTCCAGTTTGGCCTCGCGTTGCTTCAGCTTGGCTTCCTTCTCCTTCCGGCGTCCTTCGTATTTGCTCATCTCCTGCTTCACCCGAGCTAGGGTCTGCTTGAGAGACGCGTTTTCCTTCTGTAGCTCGCAGGCTTTCTGTTCAGAGCTGCGCGCGAGGTCTTGCAGTTTGGTGAAGTCGGACTGCTGAAGCTTCATGTCGTCGATCTTGGTCTTCGCTTCGTCCAGAGCCTGCTGGGTTTTACGGAGCTCCTCCGTAGCCTTCTCTGAAGAACTTTCGGATTCAGATTGCTCAGCGATATCATCGACTTCGTTCCCTACAACGCCGTGCCGTTCCAGCAGTTTGCGTAGTGAGTTGACGCGGTGCTTGTATTGCAGAGCCAACGCGGTCTGCTTGGTGAGGTCCTGCACCAGTTTCTCCTTATCGGCATTGGCGCTCTCTCCAACCATGGTCGAAGCTAGATGGGTAACATGGCGCTCCATCTCAGAGACCTTGATCTCCTCCTCCCTCAACTTATCGGCGAGTCGCGACGCTTCTTCATCCTTCTTCTTGGCATATGTTTTGGCGGCGGAGCGGTACTGGATAAGCTTTTTGATTTCCCACGTCGTTTTCGTCCGGTAACTATCGAATTCGGCTTTCCAGTATTTACCGGACTGCGACCGTGGCTCGTTCAGGTTGATGGTATCGTCGTTGTCATCTTCCGTTGGCGATGGTCTGGACCCCTCGGATGAGGGGTTGGGCTCGAGGTCCTGTGACAAAAAGAGCCCCGTGCCCTTTGACTTTTCTCGCGAATCCATCAAGGCTTGCGTCAGTTTACTGCGAGGTTTGAACTTTCCGTCCGAAGAGTTGGCCGACCACTGGCTGGAGAAGTTGTTGGATGAAGAGGTGGGGGTTTTGTTAGGTTTCGTGAACGGGTCTTCCCGCTTGCGCTCGTTATCGACGACCCCGTCGCCGAACGACACGGTTTTGCGACGGTTGGATGCGGTTCCGGGTGTTACGAGGATACTTTTTGTAGGCGATGCCATCGCGTTCACAGCCAGATCCAAGTCGGCTTTGGAAGCCTTGAAAGCATCCCCTGTGTTTCCACTGGATGGTTTCAACGTGATGTGATCATTCAGCAGCTGATTGGTCGATGGATTCTTCGTCTTCACAGCAGCAGAAGTGGTAGCAGCAGCAGTAGTAGTACGGCGGGTGGATTCGTCGTCATCGGCACCTGGGGTACCAAACAAGGCGCTCTTGAAAGCGCGGATCGCAAACACGGGAGCGGGCGTCTCGGGTGGCTCTCCGGCCCTTGAGTTGTCTATTGGGATAAACAAGTTAGAAAAACAGGTCAGCGCGCGATGAGCGCGGGTGGGAAATGGGGTCAGATGAATTGGAAGGCCATTATTGGGCCGTATATGGAGGGCAGTGGAGGGAAGGGCGCGCGCACGCAGCAGCAGCAGCAGCAGCAACAGCAGCAGGGCGGGCAGCAAGCCATACTACTCGTAGCGACCAGCAGAAAGTACAGAGGGAAACACACGCACCTGCGACCTGGTCTTCCTGCCCAGTGATCCACCCTAGCATCGCGTCTGCAGGGGACAAGAGAAACCGGCGATTCACCAGCAATCAAATTATGGGACTGAACGAGACACGCATGGCACCAACAAGACCATTGGGGGGCCAGAGGATTGACGTGGAACGCTGTGCTTTGTTTACGGCGATGATGCGCCAAGTCACGAGCTGCCCGCCCCAAAGGCGGTGGGCGGAAAAACGACGGGGCGGCGCTTCCATTGGGCGTTCATATACTCGCTGTCGGGTTACCGCTCTTTTCCTCTCTTCCCGTCTTTTGAACTGCTACACTAACCATTTCCTCCCCCTTCCCCTCTCCCTTCCCTTGTCAAATTACCTTTTTCTCTCTCCACACATATACTTCTACACCCTTTCTTCTTCTTTTTTTTCTTTCCCCAATTCCCAGATATGTTCTCTACTGAGCTATAGAGGGCTGCAGCTTCGGCTGCATCTTTGTCACTAATTTCCGTGGCAAAGGCCAATCTCGATCACGGTGCATCCACTATCTTCACCGCCCGACCAGCGCCCCGCTATGCCTCACAAACAGAAGAAGAATTTCAGCAATGCCCCCAAGCACGGCTCTCCCCGAGCGGAGAAAAAGCAGCAGCAGCCGCAGCAGCAGCTACTCCGTCCAGACTCGCCGTCTTTCTCGCCGCCGGTAGTTGCCCCCACCAATTATCAGGAGATCCACCAGAATGAAGTCGAAGCATTGCGCTCCATCTACGGTGATGACTTTGAAGAGGTCCAGCACAGGCGCTCTGCCTGGCAGGTATGTGATTGTCGCATTGATGTTGCTCGATGCATGGCTGACCAAGAAGCTCTATAGCAATCGTCCGAGGTCGCGTTCAAGCTTCATCTGCGAGCCTCGTCGAACCCTGACGTCCACCTGGTATTGCTCGTCGAGCTGCCCACCACCTATCCCAAGACCTACCCCAACCTATCACTGGAAAACTTAGACGATCTCCGAAAAGGCGCTCGATCGAGAATTCAAGACATTATACAGAATAAGCCGAAGACCCTTCTCGGCTCTGAAATGATATACGAACTGGCGGTGTCCATTCAAGACGTCTTGGAAGATGTGGCTGAGGCTCAAGCTCAAGACAAGGATCTTCCGAGCTTAGAGGAGGAGCGAATGGAACAGGAAGCCGCCGCAAACCAGCGAGCCGAGCTAGAGCGACAAGAGGAGCTCCGGAAACAGGAGGCAGCCACAGCAGAAGAAGAGCGTGCCCTCCAGCAGCTCTTGGAGGACAAGGTCCGAGAGCGGGCCAAGGCACGATTGTCCCGACGTAAAAGTCGCACTCCTGGGTTGGATGCGAATGGGGACACTGATGCTGTGGAGAACATCCCCGGGGCGATTACCTTCGACCCTCCGTTAGCTATGACGGATACGGACCAGGCCACCCTGGTCTTCCGCGCGGTGTACGGCAAATCGCTTCTCCAGATCGGACCAGGAAAGGAGACATATACCGTGAGACCGGTCGTCTCCGACAACCGGTCCCATGCGCCTTTGCTGGTTCTGAGGGAAATCTCTCTGGAGGAGAAGGGAGTCGAGCCCCTTCTGTTCCGAGAGAAGATGCGCTCGAGCGAGGACAGGCTGGAAGGCCTGAAGAAATTACGGCATCCCAACCTGGTGGATTTTGTTGGGTTCAAAATAACCCGACCTATGAGCATGCAGGACAGTCAGGATAGCATCTGGACTGTCTATGCTCTCCAGGAGTATTCGAACAAGGGAACATTGGCCGAGTTCTTGGATATTGTCGGGACCGTTCCTGTGGAAGTACTCCGCAGCTGGACAATCCAGCTGCTGGAAGCCTTGGAGTTCTACCATCGTAGTGGTTTTGTTCATGGCAATATTCATTGTGGTCGCATCCTATTGTTCAGAACTCGTACCGGTGGGACCATCGTGAAACTGCGGGCTGGCATTGAAGAGGCACTTCCTGATTCACCGGCTAGCAAACGGTTGCTCACAACGTCAAAATCACCGTTCTGGATGCCCCCTGAATTAACACACGGGACCGCACCGTTGACCATGAAGACGGACGTCTGGGACCTGGGTATCGTCTTCCTTCAGATGGGATTCGGAACGGATGTGCTTCAGCGTTATACTTCAGCAAATGCGCTGATGGGCACGCTCGGGCTATCGACTGCTTTGCAGGATCTACTGCATGAATTCTTCAGGCCCGATCCGAAGAAGCGGCCGACTGCTTTCCAACTACAGCCTTCGGAATTCTTCCGTGTGGACACTCCCTTGATTGCTCGTACCAGTGCCTCGAACTCAATCTCTCTACCGAGGCGTCCACGTCTTGATTCCCTTAATGGCTTGCCTGCCTTCTCGCGGTACAACCAGGATTTCGATGAAGCTGGGCGGTTAGGAAAAGGAGGTTTTGGGCAGGTGGTGAAGGCAAGGAATAAGCTCGATGGTCGCTTTTACGCGGTCAAGAAGATTACTCAGAAGTCTACCGCGGCCCTGAAAGACACACTATCGGAGATTATGCTCCTGTCCCGGCTTAATCATCCTTACGTAGTACGTTATTATACTGCGTGGATCGAGGAGGATTATGATTACGTAGACGAGGAAGCCATCTCTTCCACGGAGAGTGACGTCTTTGCTAGTCGGGACACGCATGCCTATGATTATAGTACCGGCGGGCTTGACTTTATAAGCTCGAGCGGCTATCCTAAGATTGAGTTTGGCTCCGACAGTGACGAGGATAACGATGGAACTCTGTCCAATGGAGATAAAGGCGACACGCCCTCGACGTTTGAGACGGAGAGTGCCACAGGCAAGGAGCTTAGTCGGGTGCGGTCAGGCTCCCAGGGCAGGCCCGTACTTACCACGCTCTTCATCCAGATGGAGTATTGCGAAAAACATGTGAGTATCGTGTTGTTGTGCCTAACAATATGCAACTGATGCTGACATACATAGACCCTTCGCGATCTGATAAGAAATGGTCTGTACGATGATGTTGACCGGTCCTGGCGCTTGTTCCGGCAGATCCTGGACGGACTGAGCCATATCCACGGCCATGGAATTATTCATCGGGATCTCAAGCCAGACAATATCTTCATCGACGTGGCGAATAATCCCCGTATTGGAGATTTTGGTCTCGCTACCAGTGGCCAGTTCACGACAGCCGTGCGCTCTTCTACCACTGCCGATTTTGAAGGCAACTTTACTCGCAGTCTGGGCACGACCTACTATGTTGCCCCCGAGATGAAGTCGGGCATCACCGGCAACTACAATGAAAAAGTTGATGTAAGTGCAACCCGACTAAACAAGCGAGAGAAGGTCTAACGTGGGCACAGATGTATTCTCTCGGTGTGATCTTCTTTGAGATGTGTCATGCCTTATCCACAGGCATGGAGCGCGATCAAACATTGCGAGCTATACGCGAACCGAACCATACCCTGCCGTCTACATTCCAGTACACGGATAAGGTAGTCCAGGGCAGGATCATTAATTCGTTGTTGAGCCATAACCCGAGCGAGAGGCCTACAGCCTCGGATCTTCTCCATAGCGGAAAGATTCCTCTGCAGGTCGAAGAAGAAACCTTCAGGCGCGCGATCATGCACCTACTATCTGATCCAAACTCTCCCGACTATAAGAAGATTTTATCCGGCATCTTCTCTCAATCACCCAAGAAGTTTGAAGACATCGCCTGGGATATGGACTCTCGCGGTACACCGGGCGCCACCGAGTTGCTGATTCAAGGTCTTGTCAAAGAGAAGCTGACGTCGATCTTCCGCCGCCATGGGGCTGTTGAAACCCAGAGGCAGATGCTGTTCCCCAGATCTCAGCACTACAATAACGGCGCTGTGAGACTGCTTGACTCCTCCGGCAACTTACTTCAACTGCCATTTGATCTCACCCTGCCCAATGCGCGTGCTATTCCACGACAAGATACTTCACTGGAGAAAACATTCGCTTTTGGTACCGTCTACAGGGAATTGCCTCATGGAGGCGAGCCCAGGACTCATAAGGAGGTAGACTTTGATATTGTGTCACACAACACTTTGGATCTGGCTTTGAAAGAAGCCGAGGTAATCAAGGTGCTGGATGAGATTATCGAAGAATTTCCTCCTCTGAGATCTTCTCCTATGTGCTTTGTTATCAATCATTCGGACCTGCTTCAGATCATTATGGAGTTCTGCCGAATCACGCCATCTCAGATCCCTCGTGTCAAGGAGGTCATCAGCAAGCTGAACGTAGGAAAATGGACGATGCAGAAGATTCGAAGTGAGCTTCGCTCCCCGGCTATCGGAGTTGCCTCGACCTCGCTGGATGACCTGGCACGGTTCGACTTCAGAGACTCTCCAAAGCAGGTTCAGAAACGACTGCGGGCTATAATGCAGGGTACGATATTTGCTGAGCGATTGGCACCGATTTTTGCTCGCATCAATCTGCTCGTGGCTTATCTGCAGAACTTTGATGTCAAGCGGAAGGTTTACATGAACCCTCTCGGGAGTCTTAACGACAAGTTCTTCCGAGGCAGTATTCTTTTCCAGTGTGTCTTTGACAGTAAGCGGCGTGATGTATTCGCGGCTGGCGGACGGTATGATTCGCTGGTTCAAGAGTTCCGGCCCAAGGTCTTGGCCAGTCGTTCTCAAACTCATGCTGTGGGATTCAACTTGAGCTGGGATCGCCTCAGCTCGGCTATGTCGGAGTACCTTGGAACACCTACTAAAACCCCAGCGAAGAGCTTTGATATGGAGACTGGGGCTTTCTGGAAGACACGTAGAGTAAGTCTGATATCCACCACCTAGTTACGGAGAGATACTAACCGCTGGCAGTGCGATGTTCTTGTAGCGAGTTTCGATCCCACAGTGTTGCGTACCATGGGCATCAAAATTGTCCAGGACCTATGGCTCAATGACGTCAGTGCAGAGCTGGCTGTGGATGCTTCCTCGCTGGAAGAACTCCTGAACAAGTACAGGGAAGACAGCCATGGCTGGATTGTGATTGCAAAGCAAGACAGTCAGGAGAGGGGTTTCAAGGTCAAGAGTCTCTCTCCAAGAGAAGAGTTCGATATCCGAGGCTCTGAACTCATTCCTTGGCTGCGGAACGAGATACGTGCGCGCTACCAGCGAGAGGGTGCAGCAGACCCCTTACGGCAGTCTCGTCTGCCCAGCCAAGCAGACCCAGGACCTTCCTTCAATGAGCGATTCAGCGACGTCCGCATTCTTGTACCCCAGCATCGAAGCAAGAAGTCCAACCGCAGGAATATTGTTGAGACAGGTATGATCGATCTATCTTAATATTACTACAACCCCGCTAACTCCGTTCAGCATTATTCCGATCCCGCGAGGTGGTCGAGGATGCCCTGAACGGGCCAGTTGCCGCCATAGATACTCGCGATGAGCTGCTAGAAGCCATCAGGAACACCCGCCTCTCCGACCCTGAAAGCTGGCGCACAGTCATCCAGAACGCGCCCTTGACAGAACGAAAGTACCTCACGCAGGTCCATGAATTGCTACTAGACCTTGCGACCGAAAGTCGTGTAGATGGGATGGAGAGTTTCAGCAATGCTTTCATATACAACTACCGCACAGGGTCATGCATATACTACGACCTTGGAAGCGCAGCCGACAGATGAAATGATGTGTGATGTTACGTGTTATGTGTCTCTTATTGTATCTGCTGTTGATTGAATCTCCTCTTCGAATATACCCACAATTATGCCATGCAAACAAGCGTTGAAATTAGCCATTCCATAGAATCCAAACGATGAAATGAAGACCAGTCAAGTCAAACACATTTTCAGGTATCTCTGCTATAGTACACGTAAGAATGCATGCAATTAATATCAACCAAATTACTCGCTATCATCGTCACTCCCGTACGCCACCAGAGGTCCAGCAGCTTTAGGCGCTTGCTGTGTCGTAACACTACCCCCAGCCAGGCCCTTCAGCGCCGCAACAGCAGAGCTGGAGAAGATCCCACCGGCCTGTTCCTCCTGCGGAGCAGCAGCACCACCAGCAGCAGTCTCCGACGCACCCTCAATCATCAGCGGCTGCTCCGGAGCCTCCAACTGTGCAATCGCATTCGCATCCTCCAGCTCCTTCGCGCGCGAGAACCACACCTCATCCGGCGGCTCATACCCCTGCAACCCGTAACTCCCCTCAATCTTCTTCCTCTTCTTGGCCTCCGGATCCCTACCCTCCAACTCAGCCACAAACTCCGCCGGCAAGGCCCTCCTAACCGCCTCAGCAGCCTGCTCCTCCAATCGTCTCGCCTCCCTCTTCTGCGCCAACGGGTTCGGATCGACCGTAGCCCACCTCACATTCAAAATCTCATTATGATCCAAACTCTGATGCGCCATGGCCTCCTTCGCAAACTGCGCATTCGCCTCATTCGTATACGTCACGAACGCAACACCCCGAGACGTGAGCACCCGAATCCGATCAATCTGTCCCCATTCCTGGAAATTCCTCGCCACCACCTCCTCAATCGAATCCGTCACATGGATCCGTCCCACATACAACGTGCGATTCTGTCTCATGAACGACCCTACACCGCCCATATCATCCCGGTAATCACTGAACTTGTCTCGTCCAAAGCAATCCACGTTCGGATTGAATATATCGTGCAGTGTTGGTAAACGGTGCAGGTACTCGCACTCTGCGCCGCGCGGACATATCCCCCGCGCGAAGAATAGGCAGAAGTATGACCCCGGGACTTTATCGGCCCGTGTGTAGCCGCTGTCGCGCGCGATGTTGCATCGTGATGGTGCGGCTGTCTTGCTTAGGTAGGAGTTCTCGCGGTCGCCGCCGCTCCATTTGTTGTACCAGATGTTGAAGATCGTGCCGACTTGCGGTGGGGGCTCCGATTTGATTGTTGCTGGGTCGACTTGGGGGCGTGCTGGGCGGCGCTTGCGTCGGATTATCTTTTTGGTCTTCTTTGTAGGTTCGATGGTGCCGTCGGCGGTGGTTGTTAGGGCGGTGCTTTCTTCTGTCGTTTCGGTTTCTTGTTGTTGTTGTTGTTGTTGTTGGGGTTGTTGTTGGTCTTCGACGACCTCCTCCGTAGGAGGGGTTACTGTTTCAGTTGGGGGTGTTGCTTCAGCCATGGCTGCTGTGATGGTGGAGGGATTGGGGATGATGTGAGGTGAAGTTGATGGAAGAGATGAGATGTTGATGTTTGAAGTCGGCAAGTTCGAAGATTCCGCCGGAGGTGGCAATTACGTAAGCGGGGTGGGTGCTTGGCGCGGCGGACGATTTTGAGGACGATTTCCCCAGACCAGAGCTGCTCGTGTTCTTGCGCTGCGATCACGTCGATTTTCGGGGAGATATCTCGCTCGTTTGATAGGTACTTAAGAGATTTTGCAGTAAGCGAAATCTAGCTTCGGTTGTCTGGTTGTGTCGTTTGTTGTATCTGGAAAATCGAGTCCGCGGGGCTCTTAAACCGGCAAGATGGTGAACATTACGGAAAAGATCAAGGAGTATGTCCCCCATCTTGCAGGTCTATTGGTGCTGTTTAGTGGATATGGATTGCTTACGCTGTTTCTCGCTCTATAGGATTGAAGATGAGATGCGCAGGACGCAGAGTAAGTGTTCAGCTCGCATATAAGGTCTTGATAGCCCCGCCATGCTAACTTACGTGCAGAGAACAAGGCCACAGGTGCGATTTGATGTCCCGGTTGATATCAGATTATGTGTAAACTAATGTACTCTTGACTATAGAGTACCATCTTGGTCTACTGAAGGGGTAAGAAGAGCTCATGCCCCTCACCTTCATATTTACCCCGCCATGTGAAAGTCTAACACTAACCGCTACTCAGAAAGCTTGCCCGTCTACGAGCACAGCTCCTGGAGCCCACGGGCGGCTCCGGTGGTGGTGGTGCCGGTTTCGATGTGAGCAAGAGTGGTGATGCGCGTGTAGCTCTCGTCGGTTTCCCCTCCGTCGGTAAATCTACCTTCCTGAGCAAGATCACCAAGACCAAGAGTGAGACGGCCGCGTATGCGTTCACTACGCTCACTGCTATCCCTGGTGTGCTTGAGTATGGAGGTGCGGAGATTCAGATTCTTGATCTGCCGGGTATCATTGAGGGTGCGTCTGAGGGTAAGGGACGTGGAAGACAGGTCATTTCGGCTGCTAAGGTTGGTTTACCACTTTTTCTGGAGGCTTTATTTCGTTCGGGGCTAATCTGGGTTAGACGAGTGATCTCGTTCTGATGGTGTTGGATGCTACGAAACGTGCGGAGCAACGAGCACTGCTGGAGGCGGAATTGGATGCTGTAGGCATCAGGTTGAACAAGGAGCCTCCGTGAGTATTTCAGGCTTTGTCCAAATAGGCTTTGGACTAATCGGCGTAGGAACATCTACCTTAAGCAGAAAAAGGCCGGTGGCATGAAGATCACCTTCCAGACGCCGCCTAAGTACCTTGATGAGAAGATGATTTACAATGTTCTCCGCGATTACAAGATGCTCAACTGCGAAGTGTTGGTTCGTGATGAATATGGTATGTATTATGCTTCAATGTCCGAATGAGCCTCGTCGCTGACATCAATCTAGCCACGATTGACGACTTCATTGATGTGATTATGAAGGATCACCGTAAATACATCAGATGGTAAACCTTTATCCGTCTATCAGCATTTCACTCTTCTAATCTGAGTACAGCCTCTACGTCTACAATAAGATCGACGGAGTCAGTCTGGACTTCCTTGACCAACTAGCCCGCGAACCACACACAGCCGTCATGAGTTGTGAACTGGACTTGGGTGTGGAAGATGTCGTGGATCGCATCTGGAAGGAACTCCGTCTTATCCGGGTCTACACGAAACGGTTCGTTCTAGCCACGATCAAGCGCCTATTACTATGAATGGGACATTGCTAACGATGCTACAGGAAAGGTGAGGTGCCCGACTTCTCCGAGGCATTGATCTGCCGCAGCAACTCAACTATCGAGGATGTGTGCGACAACATTCACCGCACGTTGAAGGAAACGTTCAAGTATGCGATGGTATGGGGAGCGAGTGCACGCCATATCCCACAGCGGGTGGGCTTGGGACATGTGGTATCGGACGAGGATGTGGTGTCGATTGTTGCTAAATGAAGCGGAAAATAGTTCATGCATTCTACACTTTAGTTCAAGCAACGGTGACTGTTCTAAATATGCTCGGACGGAGTAGATACTAGACTTGGTGTATTCTCTGCAGATCTCGTTTTAAGTCGTATGAACCCACCGGAAATCCCGCGGAGAAGGATCTGGTGAGGGATAATGGGATCATGGGATAATATGGGTCGGTGAAAGTCACGTCACGCTCTGCATTATTCTTCAGTGTTCAGGATCCACCTGGCAGGGAATACAGGAAGATAGATTAAGGGTACACGCGTCAGGGTATTGACTACCGGCCTTGCCAAAGCTTAGCCTGCACACTATAGGATTTAACTTCCTTATTGGGCTGGAACCACCCGCTTTTCTCGGGCTTCTCGCGTCCCCATCGGATAAAGCAACTTCCCCCATCTTTCTACTCCATCTCCAGCGCTCTCTTTCTCTGTCTGTTGCCCTCTTTTGCTATCATTCTTCACCACGTCAGTCCCTTTGCTGCTCTAATTTGCTTTCAAGGAGAATCGGCATGTCATACTCCACCGCTGATTTTAACCAGCATCTTCATGGTAAGCAAATACGCTGCCGATCGACGTCCTCTTCATCCCGTTAATCCCGAGCTAACCAATCCACAGATGACATGAACGGTGCCTGACGATCTATGCCGCGAGACAGTCACTAAGCATTTCACTTTCGAACCCAGGGGACGCGTACATCTTCTCCCTTGACCAATGGCTCGTCGTGTCTTTCCCTCGTTCACGGATGTCCGTAGTGGGTCGATGATGCTTGTCCTCCTTAATCTAGATACAACGATTGCATGGCTTTGGCGGGATACCATGACGATAATAACAGTACTACAAAGCAGGCAACGGCTATTCTCGAATTCTTGAACGATATAAAACCACCCTACCGCCAGCTGGTATCCGCCCAGTATTTCACACCGGCAAGCACATTCTTTCCACGCATTGAAAGTCCCTCTTTTCAGTCACTCTCTCGCAATGCGCTCCAAGATGAGCCTTTTGGCCGGCACGGCCACACTCTCCCTTGCCCAGGCCACCAGCCTGGCGGATGTCTGCACATCCTCCTACGCTCGTTCCGTGGCCCCCAGCAGCCCCCTCATGGGCATCACCGTGGACACCACCTCCGTCACTGCCAACCCGGTCTACAACTACAGCTCCGCCTCCACGGCCTTCTGGCCTGCCTCCACCTTCGACTTCTGTAACGTCACCCTGGCCTACACCCACGATGGGCTCGACGACCAAGTCCTGCTGCAGTTCTGGCTCCCTGCCCCAGCCGACTTCAAGAACCGCTGGCTCTCCACCGGTGGTTTCGGCTACGCCATTAACGGCGATGGCGCTGACCTGCCCGGCGGTGTCATGTACGGCGCTGCCTCCGGCCAGACGGACGGTGGTTTCGGTAGCTTCTCCACCGAATTTGATGCTGTCTTCCTGAAGGCCAACGGTACCATCGACCGCCAGGCCCTCTACATGTTCGGCTATCAAGCCCACTACGAACTCAGCGCCGTCGGCAAGGCCTTCACCAAGAACTTCTTCGACCTCGGCTCCTCCAAGCTCTACGCCTACTACCAAGGCTGCTCTGAAGGTGGCCGCGAGGGCTGGTCCCAAGTCCAGCGCTTCGGTGAGGAATGGGACGGCGCTGTCATCGGCGCCCCTGCCATCCGCTACGGCCAGCAGCAGCCTAACCACCTCTACCCGGGTCTCGTCGAATACACCATGGGCTACTACCCCCCGCCCTGTGAACTTGAGAAGATCAACAACATGACCATTGCTGCCTGCGACGCCCTCGACGGCAAGAAGGATGGGGTCGTCGCCCGCACCGATCTCTGCAAGCTGCATTTCAATGTTAACTCCACCATCGGCGCCCCCTACTACTGCCCCGCCGAAACCACCACCACTGTGCTCAAGAAACGTCTCTCCACCAGCAACACCACCCCAGCCCAAAATGGCACCGTCACCAAAGAAGGCGCCGCCGTCGCCGCCAAGATCCTCGATGGCCTGAAGACCCTTGACGGCAAGCGTGCCTACATCTGGTACCAGCCCAGCGCGACCTTCGACGACGCCGAAACGCAATACAACTCCGACACCGACTCCTGGGAACTGGACATCACCTCCCTGGGCGGCGAATGGGTCGCCAAGTTCCTCGAACTCTACGACGTCGACAACCTCTCCACCCTCGACAACGTTACCTACGATATCATGACAAAATGGATGACTCTGGGCTGGCAACGCTACGAAGACGTCCTGCAAACCACCTGGCCCGACCTGACCCCGTTCCACTCCAACGGCGGCAAGATCATCCACGTCCACGGCGAATCCGACCCTAGTATCCCCACCGGCTCCTCGGTCCACTACCACGAATCCGTCCGCAAAACGATGTACTCCTCCCTCTCCTTCAACGAGTCCTCCGACGCCCTAAACGACTGGAATCGTCTGTACCTTGTCCCTGGTGCTGCACACTGCTCGTACAGCACGGACCAGCCCAATGGCGGTTGGCCGCAGAGTACTCTGCCTACGTTGTTTGATTGGGTGGAGAACGGCCAGAAGCCGGATCGCTTGAATGCCACGGTCCAGGAGGGTGAGAACTATGGTCAGGTTCAGCAATTGTGTGCTTGGCCGTTGAGGCCTTACTTTGTGAACAACGGGACCGAGTTGACTTGTGTCTTTGATGAGGAGTCGTACCAGACTTGGGTGTATGACTTCGATGCTTATGACCTGCCGCTGTACTAGGTGTCTGGAAAGCAGTTGGTTGAGATGAAGGGAGTGGGTTTAGTGAATGTAAATTGTGTACCATATATGTTTGAGTGAGCTCTCTGCATTTGTAGTATAGTGTATATATCACAGTAGTAGTATGTATGCACTTATAAATAAATAGTACTTGGGTTTGGATAACGACAGTAGACTTGTTCCTCTCCGAACACCGCCGGTTTACTTAGTGAGGACGCTCAATCGGTCTGCTGGTATATACTTACTTTATGTACTCGAGTCTGGCACTGAGGCCGCTCACCCCTAACCTAATATGTTCGGCGACCTTTTCCAGGCTTTGACAACAGGAACATCACGTATATTGATCACATCTGTAAGCCTCTCCATCTCAGGTTCTAAAGTACCCCAGCTATATCGAGAGCCGGCTGTCCCCAACCTCTCATCCACTCCGAGGACAAAACATGCTGTACTGTCGCTCTTTCATTCGGCCTAAAGGCCAACATCGACAGCAGCATCGCCTTGAACGCCGTCCTCTCAGTCTCCGACACAATTTCTAGGCCCGCCTGAGCCCGAGGCTCCTGTATACAGTAGTCGAACCTCTGATCCCAGGACATACGCACACCATCAGGACCCCTAGATTTTTTCTTCAAATCCAGCTCACCCTCTTCTTCATCAAACCATTTGCGCCGTCCGCTCCACTTCTCCCACCACTCAGGAGGCAAGACACCGAGAGTTTCCACTTGCTCAGCGGTCACACGGTCAGGAGTAGCGAAAAAGGCCTCGAATAAAGGCCGCTGGCCGAAAATCTCCCAGATGGTACAGGCAAGTGTCCAAACATCCGAGGGGAAGGAGAGAGGCTCGTTAGAGAATCTAGCCTCGGGCGGCTGAAGGAGAGGAAGAGTCTTCGAAGAGAACCTGGCTGTTTCGTGTGGGTTGAAAGATTCCCCGAAATCGCTGAGGAGGATCTTTTCTTCTCCGAGGGTTATATCATTGCTGCGAACGCCGTACCAGCTGGGAATAAACACGCGTGCGGGTATGTTATTTGATAGTGATAATGGCTTGCCGTCGAGACGAACAACGGCTTCGGAATAGGGCTCGCCGTATTTCTCGTATAGCTCTGCAGTGGAGAGGGGATCGATTACTTCCCTAGGAAATTGAACTAGGATGTTGCCGAGATGCAGATCTTGAAAAGTTGTTAGAGTCAGCTAGCCAATCCAGCTATACACATCCATAGACATAACATACCGCCATGTACAATATCCTGGCTATGAAGGAACGCAACCCCACGAATAAGCCGAGCAACGATTGACCGCGCAACATCCAGGTGGAAAAGACCAAAATTCGATGCCTCTTTGCCATCAAACAAGCTCATACGTGCTGGCGGAGTAACAACACATCTATGCTTCCCATTGGGCCCGGAAATCCAGAATTCACCCAAGAGTCGTGGGATGATCTCACTTCCTAGTCCAGGTGGTGAGTTTCCCAGAGAGGATAGAAGACTAGCCTCTGGTGTAGAGGTACTAGCATCAGCAGTAATGGCTTTCACTGCCACGTATCTGGCCCGGTGTAGGTCCCGGGCTAGCCATATAGTCGAGTATCCTCCATACCCTAGTTTGTCAACCAGTCGATATCGGCCCTTGTTTAGGTCGTCTCCGATCTCTAGGGGGTGGTATCCTCCGGGGCAGTATCTGTGCAGGTCTTCGACGTCTTCAACGAGCCTGTACTGCTGCTTGCTGGGCCTTATTGTTGATGTGCGAGAAGCGTTGGACGCGTCTGTATTCCGGTTACTCTTTTCTGACTTTAGGGGAGTGAAGGTGGACATCAACGAGGTCTTGCGGACACAAGGCTGGTTTGAGACAAGACTCCATGTCTGCCTGTAGGATCGGACATTGATATGAATGCAAGTACTACGTGTGAACATCTGCAGGCATGGGCACAGCGACTGTAACGACGTTTGGAAACCACTTGACTTTATTACTATGCTCTTGGGTCAATCATGGATGACTAATGTCACGGGACCTCAAGTTGGACCTTCTCATCCTTCAGGTATGAGGGAATACGGCAGCTTAGAATCTACATTACTATGGAGTGGAAAAGTACGGGTGGACATATTATGTGTGAAGTGAAAATATATTCCTAAACCGAAATGTACCCAATCTAAACCGAATGAATCATGTACAACCAAAGATATTCCGACCTAAACCCAAACCCAAACTCCAGTTCCAAATGACATTCCTTTAAGCGGCAGCGGCGGCAGCAGCAGCAGCGGCGGCCACGTTCTGCATGCCAATGGTAGGCTGAACGCCCACACGCTCCTTGGCCAAGAGGTCAACCAAGAGAGGGCTGGGAACAGTGTTCCGGTTGGGGTGGAACGCCAGCTGATGGTTCTTGTACTTGACGACGCTGTCCAGGTAGATGTCGAAGAGGTAAGAGGAGTCCAGGGGACCGCCCTTGGCCTCGGGGTGGAACTGGGTGCTGAAGATGGGACGAGTCTTGTGGATCATACCCTCGTTGCTAGAATCGTTCAGGTTGACGAAGTAGGGCTTCCAGTCGGAAGGCAGGGTGGAAGCATCCACGGCATAACCGTGGTTCTGGCTGGTGATGTGGCAGCGGCCAGTAGTGGTGTCCAGAGCCGGGATGTTGTGGGCACGGTTACCATACTTGAGCTTGATGGTGCGAGCACCGTTGGCCAGAGCCAGGAGCTGGTGACCCAGACAGATACCGAAGATGGGTACCTGGGAAGTCTCCATCAGGCGACGGAGGTGGTAGACGGTGTCCTGGCAGTGAGTCGGGTCACCGGGGCCGTTGGAGATGAAGACACCATCGAAGTGGTGGGCGACCTTGTGGATGGGGTAGTCAAAGGGGAACACAGTGATACTGGCTCCACGGCTGACCAAGCTACGCAGGATGTTCTCCTTGACACCGCAGTCGAGCACAGCGACGTGGCACTGGGGGTCGGCGGCGCTGACGTGGAAAGGAGCCTTGGTGCTGACCTGGCGGACCAGGTGGATCTGCTCAGGGTCGACGAAGGCCTCATCCTGGTCAGCGTCGTACTCCTCACCGACGGTGATACGAGCGAGGGAAGAACCCTGCTCACGGAGGTAGGTGACAATGGCACGAGTGTCGACGCCGGAGATGGCGGGCACACCCTCACGGGCACACCATTCACCGAGACTCTCGACGGCGGTCCAGTGGCTGTACTGCTCAGCCACATCGGCCACGACGACACCAGCGGCCTGGAGGTTGGGAGACTCAAAGTACTTGAGCAGACCGTGCTGGTCCCTCTCGGCAGAGGGGACACCGTAGTTACCGATCAGAGGCTGGGTGAAGACCAGGATCTGACCACGGTAGGAGGGGTCGGTCAAGGACTCGGGGTATCCGACCAGAGAGGTGGTGAAGACGGCTTCACCGGAAATGTTGGAGCGGGCTCCAAAGGACTTTCCATGGAAGATGGGGCCATCTCGGATCGTGAAAGTGGCACGTTCAGTGGCGGGACGTCCCTGACGGACGGTAGCCATGAAGCGGGACTGGATAGAAGCATTCACGGAAGTGAAGGCAGGGGCCCTGGCGGGCATGGCCTTGAACACACGAGCGAACATTGTGATAGGATTTATTTGATGTGAAAGAAGAATACGGCGGGTTGTGTGAAGTGGATTCAGAAGTTTCCGGAAGCTTTCCAGAGGTGATCCGAGATGTAGTCCTACAGACATCATGTTAGTATTCTATCAATGCCTTTCAATTCGATGATGGGATAGCCCTGGCGAGTGACGATAGTGGCGGGGAGGGGAATGCGGAGTAGCCATGGGAACCCATAATACTGTGGTAGACAACGTACCTGAGAAGTGAAGACGGAAGGTGCCAAACGCATAAGCGCGACTGTGCTGTTACCAGTCACTGAGGATTGGTATACAAGATAGATTGGAGATAGGAGGGTGTCTAATTAGTTAGACATGGAAGTGCGTTGATGATTCTGGGGGGAGCAATCTGGGATACGGAGAAGAAAGGAAAGGGAGAGAAAGAGAGGGAGGGACCAAGAGATTAAAAAAGAAGGGAAAAAGTGTGCCGGCCCGGTCGGGTGGCACGTGCTTTCCTCACTCACCGACTTGGTTGTGCGTGTCCGGCCAATCGGAGGGCGGCCATTCGACAGTCCGCTATCGGGGAGGCCAACTTTGGCAGGGTTTTATTCATTCCCTTGACTCACTCTTCCGCCGATTCTCGCGCCCTTCACTTGATGGATCCATTTTTTCTTCAATAATGAACCCCAGTTCCTCTGAACAGTAAGGATTAGTGCAGCTCAACAACAGGAACAGCTACCCAGCCATTCCATGGCTGCCCCAAACAGGGGGCGGGCTCTCCCTTCCCTTCCACTGAGAACTCGCCATGACTCACTATTGATGTAAGTCTCTCCACTTGGTGGGTTTCGTGGCTCTGATAACCCCAAGTATGGCAGATCTTGGTGACTAACTTTTACATAACTGATAGCTTCATTCTCTCTTTCCGGCATATTCTTGACTAATATAAATACTCTATCCCCGGACGACAATTAAGAATGCTGGGGTTATTCCAGCTCATGGTATACAACCAATGCTACTAGATAGTAGATAGTGATGGTATATAAAATTGATGCAAGTTGGCGCCGAGTGTTACACCGCTAGTCAGCACAAGGAAGACGTTGAATACTCGACAACCAATTGAGTCGTCGCATTGCCCACACACATCTCAGGCTAATGTGCAACTGTAACCAGAGGAGCCAACCAGCTGCGGACAGTCTGCTCAACTAACCACAGATTTATCCAATGCAGCACCGGCTCATTTCTGCAACATACATGACCGTGATACCCGGCAGATTATGCGTTCGGAGACTTGATCAGACCAATACATAAAACTTCAGTAGAAACATACATTGCACTATATGTCATGCATCAGAACTATAAACATCAAACTAGCATGTCTTTCCGAGATAACACATCGATGCACCTCATCCTCATAATCCTCCTTCTCCCAGCCCTAACACTCACCCTTGCCCTCCCCAACCGCAACATCAACACCAACAATGATCAAACCTTCCTCTTCCCCTCTCCCACAGACTCTCAACCCCTAGACGACCCCCACTGCAACGGCACCGGCCTCATCGACCCCAGTAACCCAGATCAAGACCACCCCTGCACCGGCGATGGTCTAATCCCCCCATCACCCGCAGACCCTCCTCGCGAGGGCTTCCACTTCGAGAATCCCTCAACAAACTGCACATACGTCTCGCAACCCCACATCTGGGACTCGTTCAAGATTTTGGAAAAGGACATGACGAAGCTTTTCACGCTTATCCACAAGAACGTCAGTTTCACCGTTGTAGGACACCATCCGATAGCAGGACATTATAACGATCTGCTGCACTTTTATGTGAATGCATTGCGAAGAGTGAGTGTATTGTTCATGGATCATGCCGACAAGTTTGAGATTCATCCGGTCGCGATTATCGGGGGTTGTGAGAGTCAGTGGTCGGTGCAGGAGGTGAATTTCAAGGGGGTTATGAATTCTGGTATTATCACTTCCATTCTTTAGTATATTGTACATTTGAGGGGTGAAGTATACTGATGATATGCAGGCGATCCATTTGATATAATCAATGTGTGGGTGACGAAGTGGTATCAGGATCAAATGGTCGAGATCCGGACGTATATTGATGCGCCGAAGATCATGGATGCGTTGCATAAGAATGAGATCTGGTGGAATGGGACGTCGGAGAGGGAGAATATGCTGTATATGCCTGGACCGGCGGGGATGCCGGATTTGAAGGAGTTGGAGGGATTTATGGGGTATCCTGATGGGAGGAGGTATGAAGATTGACCTATATGAGTTTACAGTTAAGATAACATAAGCCTAGTTTGTGACTGCTTCATACAATAGGATATGTTGAGAGCAATATTTGTAGAGCAACCATTTGATATGATACTATATACTTCATACTACACAGTAAAACAGTGAACCATATCAGAGAAATCAAACCACAAAACCAAACAAGTAATCAACAAACACCAACTAAAGGACAAAACAACACCACCTCAATCCCTCCCTAGATAATTATCCAACTCTCCCTCCGTCCACCCCCACAACCTCCTCGCCAACTCCCCATCCCTCCCAAGCGCCGACTTCCCCAGCACCCCAACAGGATCATAATACTCCCCACTACTCACCTCTCTCGACACCGCTGCCCAAAGTTGATTCCTAACCCCAACCTCCAAACTCGACGCAAGCCTCAACACCAACGCCACCTTGAACAAAAACTGAATATACCTAGGCGCACCCGTAGCCCCATCGCCGAGCGTCGTGGCCACCACCCCCGGATCAATCGAAGCAGCAGTCAACCACGGACACACTTCCGCTAACATCCTCACCCAAAGCACAACAGCCAGCTTACTCTGCCCATACCTCGCAAACGGACCCATACTCTCCCCATTCGTCTTGAACGTCTCAAACTGCAGTCCCCCAGGCGGCGCATACCGCTGTCCATGCGACGCCACAGCCACAATCCTCACACGACCACCTACACCAGCGTCATTTCGCTTCGCTGTCCTCTCCATGATCGGTAATAGCAGCTTGGTCAAGAGTGCATGACCCATGAAGTTCGTCCCGAACTGCACTTCGTATCGTCCATCGGGGGTCATTCCCGGTGGTGCGGCCATGACGCCGGCGTTGAGCATGAGGATGTCGAGGCGGGTGGCAGTGGAGAGGAATTCCAATGCGGCTTGCTTGACGGAGGAGAAGGAGGACAGATCAAGTTCGAGGAGGTGAATACGGGCTGTGGGGACTTGTTGTTTGATTGAGTCCGCTGCGGTTTGCGCTTTGGTGAGGTTGCGCGCGGCGAGCCAGATTTGGGATGGGTTGTGCCGGGAGAATTCGAGCACGGAGGCTTTGCCCAGGCCGCTGTTGGCGCCGGTGATGAGGATGGTTTTGCCGGTTAGGTCAGGGATGTCTTTGGTGGGGTGGAAGGGCATGTTGTGGTGGTGGTATTGTTGGAGACGAAATGTTATGGAGGGTGAAGAGGGTTGGGGGACTGAGAAAGGTAAGAAAGTGATTGGGATTAAGATTGAAGGTATAGCCATGACATGGCTTCTCATCTTATATGGGAAGGATATACTAAGGATTTTGAAGATATCTGGATCGGAGTAGGAGCTATGACACTCCGCTCCGATGGACCGGACCATGCCTCAAATTCCTCCGTGTGCAAATGATGGGGAACTGCTTGTTGGTAAGCACCGAAAAAACTCATATTTCTACAGTTACCTGCTGCAGAAAATCACCAACTCCACATATTGCGGAATTCACTAGAGAACAAGTCCAGATCATCCAAAGTCGGCTCCCAAGAGTCCTCCATCATTGGCATCACCGCCGTATCCCACGACATCTTCATAGCCTCCATTTTCGCTGCCATGACCATGAAGAAGTCAAGTTCTTGAGTACCTTCTGGATCCAGTCCAGCTGCTTCTTTGACCTGCGTGAACCGCTGTGCCGCCGTCTCCAGTACCCATGACACATCTATTGTCTCCCGCACCAGCTTGCGGTCCCAGACGGGGTACTCACAGACAGTGAGACGGTAGAGGTTGATGAAACTGCGTGCCATATTGGCGCACATCAAGCATGAAAGCCCGACATATTCAACGGGTTGCAGGGCTAAAATGGTGTCGGTCCAGGACTTGATGGTCTGAAGACAGGCACAGAGACATTCGAATTGTTGGTTAGATTGCTGGGGAAAGATGCTTGGGTCTGACGAGAAGCCGATCTCGTAGATCATCATTTCTGCGCTGTATAGCTCCATTTGCAGGATCTCTGTGTGCTGTTAGCTGGGTATTGGACGGGTGTTAGGAGCTTACTGTTGTCAGTCAGTTCAGGAGGTATCTGTGATCGGAACTCGCGAATCTGCTTCTGAAATGACTGCAAATATATTGGAGCTGATGGCCGCGGGAAGTGAGTGTCGCTCGGCCCCGTCCCTGGTGCGTCCATGACCTTTCCTGTGATGAGACGCAGTTTGACAAGCTGCACCAGCAGGGTATCATTGATTGATTCCTTTTGCTCTTCGAATACACGAAGACAGTCGTCGAATGAGGGCGTCCACTGAAGTGGCTCGCCGTTTCGGGACACATTCGACCTTGGAATGTTAGACAGCATCTATACCCAAGGAGGGTTTACCTACGTGAAGCTAACGAGTAAGCATCCCAGCAAAGCCCTGCGTTCCTGCATGGTAGGCAGCCGAGAGTAGTGGGACGGTCGATTGTGCCCCTTCAGATCATAGCTAAGCAGGAGACTAGGGTCTTGTGCCGGCGGCTTGTCTAGGCCCAAGTCGTATACAATGGCGATAGCCAACTGCATCAAACTAGTGAAAAGCGGCTTGTCAAGGGCGTAGTAGCGATCCCAGGTAGCGTATACCAGAACCGCCGACAGGAAGTCTATACTCCTTGTGCCTTCTACAAACGCCTCGCGGCCAAATATCTCTCTCATCTGCCTGGACATGGCTTTCTGCTGCGTTGTCCGCGTGGATGCGACAGTCATTACCGCTAGCCACAGCAGCGGACTCTCCTGATGCAGCTGATGGGCGGTTTGAGAGACCGGGATATCAAGAAAAGGCAAGTGACCAATAAAGTCGGTGCGGAACCTACCTAAGTACACCTCGGCGTCATCATCGTTAGGCTCGTAAGGAGCTGTTCGAGGCTGCTCGAAAGGAGCAGCTGGACTACATGTTGCGCCTGATAAACTCTGCGGTATAGATACAGACAGCGATACGGCTTCGTCCGTACGAGGTGCTGGAACTGCATGCTCCTGGGCCGACAGATTCGACCCATTCAGCATACCCGTCTGGCCATGCAGGATACTGTACAGCCCGTCCAGCTTCTCCTCAAGCTTCTGGACATCTTTTGCAGAGGCTTTGGCCACTACCCGGCGCTTACGCATGGGAGGCGATGGCTGGCAGGACTTCCGGAGGCGTACACATCTTCCGCAACTAAAGTATCAGCATCGCCAGGATATATCAATGAGAGCGGACTAACCGTTCACATGTCCCGGAGGCTCCACTGAGGAGGGCACATCTCGTCTTTGCTCGGACACAGTTTGTACAAGCCCGTACGGTTGGCATTTTGACTCAAGTTACAGGGTTACACAGGCATCTACTCGTCGTCAGACAAGATAAACTACTGCTAGCATGCTGGCATGGGGGCTGAACGGAGCGGAGCCTGCGAGACTCCGACTCCGATGCTTGTATTGTGGATGGATATCTGACGTTGAACTTTGCTATTGGCAATTCGCATGAGTTTTTTCCATGGCTATTCGACCTCTCAACGCATCGATTGAGTGAAGATTGATAGAGTGACACTCTATGACTACTGTTAAGAATCTCGCGATACTCGATCGGTCCGATGAAGATCAGGAAGTAGAGATAGAGATAAGGTGTGGATAACTATTATGCTCCGCACAAGCTAAGCTGACTCACCAGCACATCACATGCTCCGCACTAGTTAACTATTATCAACATCAACTGACCGGAATAAACTCCCTGATCTTATTCCACCTCTACACCTATCTACACCTCAGACCCTCCGGTCATGGACACGGTTTACCGAGGGAGACATGACCGAACCCTCTAGGAAGCGTTCCCGTGTTGCCTGCACACTATGTCAATCGCGCAAGCGCAAATGCTCCGGCGACCAGCCATGCACAACATGCGCCCAGTTCGGCTCCGACTGCCACTATGACCTCCAATCGCGCAGAAAGCGCGATGCCAGACTATTCCAGCTGCAGTCCGCTGCACCGACAGAATCTACAGCGGTCCCTGATGCAGCGCATCCTCCGCGCCACGAGCCCAAGATCTCCCCAGAGGAGACAGCAGCCCGGCTCAGCTCGCTAGATGCCAACTCCGGCGCAGCATTCGCTAGGCGCCTCGGCCTCAAGGTCGATCCCACCAATGCACCCAAGATGCATCTATTCGCATGGAACGTGGGCGCGCGCCATCTCCCACCTCCATCAATGCCACCACCATCCGCCCCTAAGGCAGTCCCCATTGTGGACACCATCTCGCAGGACGAGATGCGCTCCCTCGTAGCCATCTTCTTCGACAAAGTCGACCCATGCTACCCATTCATTGACCGCGACACCCTCCTCCGCCAAGTCAGTCGCCGCTGGCTCCCACCCACCGCCGACTCGGCCCTCCTCTACGGGCCCTACGACGCCGTCCTCGCCGGCGTCGCAGCCTTCGGCTACCTTTTCTCCCGGAGACAATCCAGCGTAACAGAGCTCCAACTCGCGGAGACAGCCCGGCTCATCCTCGACCAAAACATGCTATCAGACACGACCCCCACCCTCGACACCGTAACAGCATGGGTCCTCCGCGTCTCCTACCTCCGACTAACCTCAACCCCGAATCTCGCCTGGACAGCCAGCTGCACCCTAATGCACCTCATCGAAGCAACAGGCCTGCATCTGGAGCAACCCTCCTCCGACGCCATCAACCAACTTCCCACCCCTGTCGACCCAGACCTCCGCCGCCGCCTCTTCGGCATGGCCCGCCATCTTAACGTCTGGATCTCCTTCGAGCTCGCCCGTTCCCGCGTCGTCCTCCACGGCGCAACCTCCCTGCCTCCGACGCCGCGCGTCCCAGGCACCCCAGAGATTTTCACCCTCTTACCCATGTCCGAAAGTCTCGACCCAAACACAAACAAAACCACCGACCCTCCAGACCTCGAATCCGGCCTCCGCAACGTCCTCGACCAAACCCACGTCTTACCTCAGTTAATCCTCGTGCAATGCAACCTCATGCTCTGCATCTACCGGCGCCTGCGCGCCCTGAACTGCATTATCTCCGGGGACTTGCTGGACCGCGTGCTGGCACTCTCCGTGAAGGGTCTGCAGGCAGCGAGAGAGATGGTCGCGACAACTTGCCCGTGGCATCAGATCGCGAACGTGCCGTTTCAGGTGGTGTGCACCCTCCTGGCGATAGATAATCGGGCGTCGTTGGTCATGTTGGGGGGTGCGATGCGCACCCTGCGCGAGGTGGCCGCAGCGTATGATACGGAGGTGATGCGCGAAGCGTATAGTACGGCGTATTTGCTGATTTTGTTGCATCAGCGCAGGAAGGAGGAGGATACGAAGGCGTTGAAGGATGTGCTCAAGGTTAACTCGGGGGCGGGGGCGGACCAGATTGAGATGGGGCTGGGGGGGACGCCTGCGACCGATGCTGGTGGTAGTGCTGATTCTACGGAGCCGCATCATTCGCTGGCTGATTATCCAGGGTTCTCATGGTTGAGTGATCTGCTAATTGATATTCCTAGTTTGGGCAGCTTTGATATGGAGCGGTTTATGTACACTGATGTATAGCGGCGGCAGATTGGTGCCTAAACACATTCTCAAGGTTGGAATGTGTGGGAGGGATGATTACTGCGACTTCTTCTCCTTGTCGCTCTTCTTCTGTCCGGAGGATCGCGCCACACTACCCAGCTTCCACAATACCCACAGCAAGCCTAGAACAATCGCTGCCATCGTGCCCAGCTCTACTGTCTTACTGCTGAAGAATCCGCCCTCTTCTAACCGGAGCACCGGCACGTCCAACTCTTCAACATGCCGGGCTTTCTCTCCACTAGGATGCACCTGATAGAACATCGTCCGGGGGCCGAACATACCATCCCAACCTAGGTTCACCCGATCGAACGGGTTCGTGCCCATCTTCGTGCCCTCTTCCGCTGTGCAAGCCCAGAAGACTACCGGCCACGGCACCCCCGCGGAGCGGTACCCAGTCTCCGACGGCCGCAGGTACCGCAGATGCAGCGGCACCGTGACGTTCCATTCCTCGGGCACCTGGCCTTCAGGCGGCGTAGCCAGCTCAAGCAGCCAATTCGAACCCCAGTGCAGAACAAACCAATCCGGGGCCTCCAGGTCCGTTGCTCCACTTACTGCCCGCAACGCTACCAGATGATGCGAGTCCAGGAACAGCGGATCATCCGTGCTCAGCTGG